CTTCTTCTTCTTCTTCTTCTTCTTCTTCTTCTTCTTCTTCTTCTTCTTCTTCTTCTTCTTCTTCTTCTTCTTCTTCTTCTTCTTCTTCTTCTTCTTCTTCTTCTTCTTCTTCTTCTTCTTCTTCTTCTTCTTCTTCTTCTTCTTCTTCTTCTTTATGATCATTGTCATCTTCCTCCTTTCCTCAACAAGCACACAATTGTGAACAGGAAGAACATACGAGATTAGCTGTTTTTTACTTTTCGACGACTGCTAGAAATACTGCTAAACTTACTGGTGCTGCTGCTGCAGATGCTGCTGCTACCCCTGCTATTACTATCGTGCTACTAGTTCGACCACTACTGCTAATATCACCACAACTACTACTGCTGCCTGCGCGGCTGCTACTACTGTAAAAACTACTATTATTCCTCTAGTATTACAGGTACTATTACTACAACTACTAATATTATCACTATTAATGCTGTTACTACTAATGTTACATCATCACAGCTTTATTACTAATGCTGCTATGATTTCTGCTCATAGTTTTGCTCGGGTACTAATTCCTCTTTTGTGTGTGTTGCTCGCTTTATTTCTTTTTGTGTTTCGATGTACGTATATTCATAGTGCGGAAAGGTTCAAAATAGAAACCTGGGACATTAGTGTGTAGTAAGATCAGCACGTCAGCATGACATTGACTCACGTGGACATACTGTCCGGCATATGCAGGAGTGCGAGGGAATGAGTGAGTGTATTTGTTGACCAAAACCTTGACCCCTACAGGAACACTCGGACTGGACACAATTGTAAAGACCATTTAAAAACAAATACCGATAGAAGACACGAAGTTGGATGAAATAACATGTGTACAAATGTGTCAACGAGGAATCAGGCATGGATCCGGCCAAGATGGCTGTATGAGAGGAAGAGATCGACGTGTGTATAATCAATGTGCTACATGAACTGTAAGCATCTGTACCTTGAAACAGGTGTCGAGGGAGACGAAACATCTAGAGGTATGTCTGGTGTGCTGTGATGTCGATTCCTAAACCATTAAACAGTTATCAGTAATGAACAAGCTGCACTCGTTATGTTTTCTTCTAGCCATCCCTTATAACTAAGTTTCGGAGCGAATTTCGAGAGGAGGAGAGGGGATGAGGCAGAGTAGAGAACCAAACTGCATAGAAAATTTGAAATTAAAAAGAATATACATAGGAAAATAAATAGAAAAGATAATGGGTAGTTAAGACGGAAAGAGGTCACAGGGAAAAGAAGAAAGGAAGAGAAAAGGAAAGGAAAGCGAGGGTGTGTGGGAAAATAAGGAATACAAGATATGAATGCCAAATTGAGAGAATGAAAATGAATATAAAGAATGAAACAAAATAAGACAGATAGTGAAGGAAAGCTAAATAAAGGGAGAAATAATTACGAAACGAAGAAAAAAAAAAAAAAAAGCCGATGAAATTATGTGTCCTAGTTGCAAGATAAAACTGTATAAGGCGAGGAAAGACTTCGACTACTACGCCGCGTGATCCGTCTTTTTTTTCAATCTTGTAATAAGGCTTCCGTGATGAGTCCCCAATGTGCCATTAATTCTGAGAAAGCCTTCTCTATCGGCAAATCTGATTTCCATTAGCCCGACTATTTCTCCATAGTAACCGCACTTAATGGCGGCATTTTAACCAACCAGACCGCTCCGACAAACAGACTTAAGGACACCTTATTCGCTCTCGCAACAACTTGTCTCCTGGAAATTCCCTAATGGAGAAACTTATACAATTTTTCCTTTTGTCCGGAATAACCCGTTTAGTGTAGGGATTATCGGGTTTTCCTATTGTCTTATAGCGGAAGATTTTATTTAAAGCTAGCCTTAAGTGAATAAGGGCTGAGTCGTGTCTGCCTATGAATGGACGTGAGGTTGAATCCTTGTCGAATGAGATTTTTTTAAATTGGGCTACATAACTAGGTCAGCCAATCTTTAATGATATTAGGAAATGTTATGGTAAGAAATGGCGGATTGTATAAGATTGTGGGAGAAAGGTACATTCATTCTGTGAAAGACGAGAGAAAGCACATCGTCGGAATGAACCAAATACCTGCACGAATCTGTATGGCTGACATCGCGAGAAAGTACTAGGCTAGTTTTTCATCAATAATTAAGAGAATTGAGAAGGCTGCTAATTGTCGTAGATGAAAAAGAATGCTTGTTGTGATCCAGTGACATCGAAAAGAAGCCAACTAGTTAGTTAGACCTTTCTCTTGAGCCTAGGGCGCAGCATAGAACAGCGGTCGTACCTCTCCATGTTTTTCAGGTCTTGGACGTTTATTTGGCCCATGGCTGAGCCTCCTCTAAAGATGGTACTACGCAAAGGGTTTTTTGTTTGTTTTTGTTTTAGTTTAACGAATAATAATAATAAAATATTTTTTTGCAAGGTAATTAAACTTATAATTTGTGTATACATTTACTCGATAACAATGGTGAGCACAGAGCTGTCATAGAGCGGCCTAACAAAACGGGAAT